TGGAACATGTAGTTGGCCTTAAAGGTAATGTTCTTTAATGGTTTAAATCGTATCTATCAGATAGATCCTTCTCTGTCACCATGGGGAAATACTCTTCCTCTTCTGCCCCTGGTAATTGTGGTTGGCCTCAGGGGTCCGTATTAAGCCCCATGCTGTTCTCCCTGTACATGCTGCCCTTGGGACTCATCTTTAAAAAACACAACATCTCCTATCACTACTATGCAGATGATATCTAAATCTACCTTCCTCTAAATTTGGATGCCATGTCCCCACTCTCGCCTTTGTTCGAATGTCTGCGGGAGGTTAAAGACTGGCTATCCCAGAATTCTCTTAACTTAAATGAAAGCAAAACAGAAATTATTGTTTATGATAGCCACGTTCCCCTTGGCCAGCTAACTGATACAATGGGGTCTTTCGACAACCACCTTTCTCATTCTGCCAGAAACCTCGGAGTGCTCATGGATAGTTCTTTTAAATTAAACAAGCAAGTATCCACTGTGCTAAAAACCAGCTTTTATCAATTACGCCAAATTTCCAAAGCTAAGCCCTATTTACCACATAAAGAACTCGAAAACTCATCCATGCCTTCATCACTTCTAGATTGGACTATTGCAACTCTCTTTACCTGGGCCTCCAACTCTCCCTCCTTCAGAGCCTGCAATTAGTCCAAAATGCAGCAGCACGCTTCTTAACCGGCACCAGAAGGCATGAGCACATCACCCCTGTCCTCGCTAACCTACACTGGCTTCAAATATCGCATTGATTTCAAAATCCTTCTGCTCACTTTTAAAATTCTAAATAACCTGGCCCCTAGCAACTTAGCTAATCTCCTTAATCCGTACAACCCAAAGAGAGCATTAAGATTCTCCAGCCAACTGCTCCTAATGCAAGGTCTCATTTAAAAACCAGAGGTGACTGTGCATTTGCCATCGCTGCCTCTAGACTCTGGAATAATCTCCCAATCCGTACATTGTAATCAATTCAATCATTCAAATCCCGCTTAAAAACACACTTGTTTAACTTAGCTTTTGAAACAAATTAGTTTGACTTTCATTCAGCCTGCACTACACCATGTAAATGCAATTTTAAGTATAATTGTACTATTTGTTCTTTGTTCTTCCCGCATTGTGGTTTTATTGTGAAGCACTTTGATGCACTCTAGTCTTTTAAATGTGCTATATAAATAAACTTTGACTTGAGTCTGTTAGGCTGTAAAAAAACAAAAGTTAAAAACTGTCACCATACCAGCAGCCACATAACAATACTCAAGTTTATCCCCCTGAGAACCGAAGAAACAAGAATCTTTTGGTTTAACTTTTTTTGTAAAGTCCTGCTTATGTGAGCTAAAAAGGGCCAAACAAACACATGAGATATCACTGGAAAGGCCAGGGTGTCCTCTTTTGAGCACAATAGGACTTATTTGGGTTTTTTTTCCAATAAATATTAATGTTATCCCGCGACTTTGTTCCAGTTTTGAATTTTGGCCCATTGTGTATTTGAGTTTGACACCCCTGCCATAAGTCATTGTTGATTTTGTCTTCACTCTCCATCCCCTGCCAAGCTGGACCTGTGATTCTGCGGCTGCTCGCTGATGAGCTGACAGATAAGATCTTTTCTTATCCTCTGCATCCTTACCCTATCACCTCTGCTTCCCACAGGGTGCCAGCCTGCCATGTTGAAACACTATTTTTTTTCAGTGTTTCAACTGAAAAAATAGAATGCCATTGATCCAAAGTAGAATGCCATTGATCCAAAGTAGAATGCCATTGATCCAAAGTAGAATGCCTTTGATCCCTTGTGATGTCATCATCTTGCTGAGAGAAAAAACCCTTAAGTAGGAGCTTTGCTCTGTTAAACTTTGCTGCTCAACGGACCTTGACCTGACAGTAAGCAAACCCTTTTGGAGAGTTTTGAGAGAATTTCG